GGAGAACTATAGAGCAAGGGAACGCAAACATTTTGTGTCGGGTTGGACACAATAGATGAGCTTTTTCTTGCTTGCAGCCACATCACATCATTTCCAAGTGAAAACAGCCTAGCTGAATAGTGGCATGCTGGCAGGCTGCCCATTCTTTAGTTTCACGTGCAAGAAGTTTGCAAATGCATTTCAAACATGTAAATGAAACAGCACAAGGCAGCATTGAGGATTTCTGTTCATGCCAAGAACATTGGACCAGCCGAATGGGAACACATTTCGATATTTGATAGGATTTTTCAAATATTGTAGGTATCCTGTATGAGTGTGTTGTGTTTCCTTTACAATTCTGGAAGAGGTTATGAGGCATGGGAAATCCTGTATTAATGTAGTATCTGCCCTATTAATAAGAGCAATTGTATGCCGGCTCTGTGAATACCTACATTACTCATGTCATGGCCTGGAAAAAAAAGAGAAACTACACAATAGACTTCAGTCTTATCTGAGTAATCTGGTGCTGCTTCTAATGCAGCCTTTTTTCTTGTTAAAAGCCCTCTCTTCTCTCTTTTACATTGGGACACTGGTTCTTGTGTCTGTTTGCATGCCACTTGACTGCTAACAAATTACCTCATTAGTTCAGCTTGTTTCTGTAACAAATGTGCACTTAAATGTAGTTTTATGAACTTTACTTTAGACCCTCATCCACATACTAAGGGTTCATTAAAAAAAAAAAAGCTTGCAAATCCATAAGACATGTTCTGTAATGGCTAAAATCTGGGGCATGTTCAGATCTAGAAAGTCATGTTGTCAAGATGCTTACTGAAAATGAGGCCTGGATGTCTCCAGGATGATAATAAGCAGGAAATTAAGACAACCTCTTGTTTGCCCCCAGCATATGGAATACTGCCTCTGGACAAGGAAGATTCATTTAGCTATCCTAACTAATGGTTAGTTAGGCTGTTCCTTTGCCCTCATGGTGCCAAGTGGTACTTGGAATGAATTAGATTTAGTGTATTTGTGTTACGTAATAAATATAAAATGGGACGCGGGTGGCGCTGTGGTCTAAACCACTGAGCCTAGGGCTTGCCGATCAGAAGGTCGGTGGTTTGAATCCCCGCGACGGGGTGAGCTCCCGTTGTTCGGTCCCAGCTCCTGCCCACATAGCAGTTCAAAAGCATGTGCAAGTGCAAGTAGATAAATAGGAACTGCTCTGGCGGGAAGGTAAACGGTGTTTCCGTGCGCTGCTCTGGTTCGCCAGAAGCGGCTTAGTCATGCTGGACACATGACCTGGAAGCTGTCTGCGGACAAATGCTGGCTCCCTTGACCTATAGGGCGAGATGAGCGCGCAACCCCAGAGTCGTCCGCGACTGGACCTAACGGTCAAGGATACCTTTACCTTTTAATAAATATAATAAAACCTACAAATTAAAATACCCAGCTGGTACTGCTGCTGGCATATAAAGTACCAACATGTGTTCAGGAGGAAGCACGTGTGGAGCAGATACTATCTATCTCTAGATCTCAGCCTGTGTAAAAACCAGATTTTTCAAAATCACCCTAAAACACAATTGGCTCTTGACTGTTTAGGGCAGCCAGATCAAATTGTACAGCACTTTTGTGATAGAGGTTTCTGGCATTTATCTATGCCAGAAAGGGAGTTCCATAGTTCCAGGGTAGCCATTGAGAATGCCTATTTATTTGTTTATTAAATTTGCATACCACCCTTCATCTGTAGACCTCGGGGCTGTTCACAACATAAAAATACAAGATAAAAACACAAAATACATGATAAAAGCAAGAGCAGCAACAAAAAAACCCAATAACCCCCCTCTCCACTCCCACAAATACATTTAAAAGTGAATAGGATGTTAATCAGCCAAAGGCCTCATTGAAGAGAAATGTTTTCGTCTGGCACCTAACAGTGCATAATGAAGGTACCAGCCTAACCTCCCTGGAGAGAGCATTCCATAAACGGGGAGCCACTGCAGAAAAGGCCCATTCTCATGATGTCACCCTCCAGACCTCTTGTGGAGAGGGACACAAAGAAGGGCCTCAAAGGGTGTTCTCATGGTCTTGATAGGTCCATATGAACTTTGAGGTCCTGAGCTGTTTAAGGCTTTGTAGGTCAAAATCAGCTGTTTGGATTGCTTGTGTGCATATTAGTCGAGCACATTTCACAGAGTAGCAGAATGACCACACACTAGACAAATTATGGAAGACCCAACCTTGAAATGTTTTCCTGAACTAAACCAGGACAGCTGCATGTTTGCAAATTCTTCTGTGGTAGGGGGAGTGGAGCAGGCAGAGGGAATGCCGTTGGCACTTAGCAAATGAGGATCAAAGGTTTATCCTGGTCTTCTCCCTGTTTTTGTGTGCAGACAAGTTGTGAGAGAGGTCAGCCACAGTTCACTTGCAGCTTGAGGCAGTGCAGTATTGAACATTTACCACTTGGACCTGCTGACTTTATGAATTTGCACTTATTTAAATCCCGTAAGAGAAAATTATCCGACTGCATTTCAGAATGCATTTTCTCACCTCTTTAAAGCTAACGCTTGAAGGCTAACGAGGCAAGTCTCATTTCCTCTTACAGTATAACCACAGCAGCTCAATTTCCTGCTCTTGTGAAATGCCGTGGTATATTATCTGTCCATTCCAGCTCAAGACAACAATAAAGAAATACTTGGGTAACAACATGTTTTCTTTTGTTGCTTGTATTCATTTAAGCGATTTATTTTTCTATGTAGGATCCTATTTCTCAGAACGCTGGGGCTAACCAAACTGACATGCTGACGTGATTATGAACTTCTCTAAATTCATATCCTGCTGAAGAAATCTGAACAGTGCTATAAACAGTTTCTGTGTCATTTCCCTCCCTTTTTGTTGCCTATAGCCGACACCTTGCGTTAAGAAAGGCTTGGCTGAATTATTAAAACATGCACCCACCATTGTTCTATTCATGTGCTGTCAGCTTGTAAAATGCCGTGGGAAATTCAGATTTCTGGTACTTTAATATTGGCTTAAGAGAGACAAGCTGTATATTGCCCTCGAGCAGTTCTGGTTTTCATTTCCCCGCTTTTGTTCTTAAATATAGTAACAGTTGTTAAAGCACATGAGGCGGTGATATGAGCCTCCGGTGTCATAGCCACTTCCTGGGAGGCACTGTTAGCCTTCCTCTCATGTCTGCTGGTTGTCAGTCCAGAAGGCAAAGTGATGTGAAGGTGGCATGGCAAACAAGTGCTGGGAGGGGGGGGACACTTTAAGTGAAAAGCAGGGGGACAACGGGGAACCTCAGGCCTAACTGGCCCTCGGGATTCTCCAGACCACACTTTGACCAACACATCCTCCTCGAGTGTTTTTGTGTGATTGGAACGTGTTCTTCAACTCATAATCCCCTCTGCTTGCCTGGATAAAGATGACAGAGGGCTATCCGTGTGTGTAGAAACTAGGCTACTGTACCAAGGTCAAACTCACACTGGTTGCTCCATCAACTTTTGTCGCTAGCCCCAATCACACCTGGCACATGGCCCCCACAAGGTTGGCCAGAAAGGAATGTGACCTTTGAGCTGAAAAAGGTTCCGCAGTCCTGGTCTGCTACTGATCACCCATCACAAAGTGGCTTTAGCAGGGGGAAACTAAGTGCTAATGAGAATTACTACTAATTGGAAGTAACATTTTCTTGATAGAGCAGGGATGGGCTGCAGGTTCTCCTGGACTACAACCCCCATCACCCCAGCTCCTTAGACAGGCTGGCTGCAGTTAGTGGGAGCTGGGAATCCAACAACATTAAGAGTTGCAGGATGCCCATCACAACCCAAGAGAGATACAGGAGGATGGGTGTGAGAAAAGGTAGCATACATTTCTCTGTGTGTATGCCTTTCATGCTTCCCCACCCCCTTAATGTATAAAAGGATACTAAAGGTGTTTTTCATTTCCTTAAAAAGACTTGTGCCTAGAGGTATAATGTATGAGAAGTGTGGTTTGTAAGCTAAACAATAAAAGCTCTACAGGAAATGAGTCAGTGATGCCAAATGTGTCCAACTTGCTGACGTTAGCCAAAGGAACTCAGATTACGTTCTTCGGTATCATTCTCAGACCGTGATTATAACATAGTGTAATGGGGGCTTTCCTTGGAAATTCTTGCCAAAGCTACTGCTATCAGGAAATAACCGGCACTCTCTGACTCTTAAGCAATGAGAGGACAGTTGCATATACTGATTTTGGGGGGAGGTAGGGAGAAGAACAGTAGGTTAAAAAGAAAAACAACACAGGAGGTGGAATGAACAAGTTTGTTGGCTTTTAAAAGGTAAAGGACAGTTAAGTCCAGTCATGAACGACTCGGGTTGCGGCACTCATCTCGCTTTACTGGCCGAGGGAGCCGACGTGTGTCTGCAGACCATTTTTCCAGGTCATGTGGCCAGCATGACTAAGCCGCTTCTGGCGAACCAGAGCAGTGCATGGAAGTGCCATTTACCTTCCCACCGGAGTGGTACCTATTTATCTACTTGCACTTTGACATGCTTTCGAACTGCTAGGTTGGGAGGAGCTGGGACTGAACAACGGGAGCTCACCCCATTGTGGGGATTCAAACCGCCGACCTTCCAATCGGCAAGCCCAAGGCTCAGTGGTTTACACCACAGCGCCACCCACGTTGGCTTTTAGCAACCATTAAAGACAGGTATGTACACAGCACTGTTTTGCTTTCTTTACTGCTTCCCACTCAGAAATAACTAAGCAGCACTTGGACTATGATTTACAAAAGGGTAACTGTTAGTACATTGCAGCAAAAACAAGTCTTGTGGCAGCTTTTTAAAGACTGCTCAAAACCAGACATTAACCCTTTCCTGCAGCTCATTAACTGATGACACCATCAGCGAAGTCAGCTGATTGGGGGGGGGGGGAGAAACCAAAGTCTTTGCAAATCTCCCCACAGTGATATCAATGAAATTTCATGGGTCTAAAAGTACATAATAAACAAGTGCATCAAAGAACCACTGAATAAAATATTACACCAGTTTGTGTTGCTAGCATGAAAAACAGTTTATTTGCTTATGAATGCAAATAATTAAGAAAAAAACCCTACCAGTGTGTACACTGTACACATTTGAATGACACTTACAAGAATGAAGTTATATGCAATATACATTTCAGGATCACAGGTGTACTGATGGGAGGATGGAGACAGACAAGTAACTTGACTCTGTAACTTGTCACTGCCTGTGGGATTAGAGTCCCAAAACTCCAGCAAACAATCATATTTATGCCACTGGTAATAAAGCTTTTGAATTAGGGTCCATATTAACTTATTTCATTACTACAAGGTTGGATAGGAAACAGGAAGGACAGTCAAAAAGGAATTATTGGATGCAAATTGCTATTGTCCTGAGAGCTCAGCTCCTCACTCTTCAGCTGCCATCTTCATCAAGTACTCCTTGTCTATTTTGAAAAGTCTCCATCCTTCCTCAGACGACAGGTCAGAAGCTCCCCGTCTCTTGTAGAACCTGATGGAAGGCTCATTCCACTCAGCTACTAAGAAGTGCATACTGCTGCAACGACATTTGACAGCCACCTAGAGAAAGAAAATGGGCAGGAATAATTAAGGGAGTATTTCTGTGTGCTGGTATGTGGTACTGCTTCTTTAAAAAATTCTATGTAGGGAATTTCCAGATGTTGTAGCAGTTACGTTGTTTCACTGAATCCCTACTTGATCTATTTTCTAGGTTCCCTAATCCACTATAAATCTCTTGAAAAAGAAGAGCTTTAGGATAAGTTACAAAAAACATCCCCAATGTGCTTCTTAAGCAGTTTGCAACCTTGAACAAATAATGTCAATATGCAACTGAAGCAGAAGGGGAACCCTAAATATCTGAATGGCCTGGTGGATATTGCAATATTCACAAGTTCAAACATAGTGGTGTGCTTCTGCTGTACAATATTTCCTTGAAATAAGACACATGGTACTGAGCCACGCTACATTTGGTCATGCGGTTTACTACTTATACCTCCTTTGAGAGGATGTTTCCAAGGCAGGCTGGTCATCTGAACACTCCCATCATCAGAACAATGAGAGTGTGCTACCACAGAGAACTCTATCATGGGCTAGGCTGTCACAAAGAAGGCAGCACCATTAATCCAAGGAAGGATATTTAAAAGCAGCATGAGAGATATCCCAATAGGTGCAGGAAATGCTTTAATGACACAACTCTGTTGAAAACATTTATGTAAAAAAATTACATGTTGGGACGTGTTCTAAATAAAAGTACTTCTTGTACCTATTGGGATACTGCTTTTTATGCTGTATCAATGCAAATGCAATCAAAGGCACACTTATCCATGGGCACTGCACAATCTGGATTGAATAATTTCCCAACTAAATGTGACTTTGGTTAAGTGATCATTTTAGAACACTTTTCCCATATCAGCTTCTTACCTGACTTAAATTCTTTAGAATTTCTGAACCAATGCCCAAACCTAAAAATAAAACAAGTGCAATTTTATTAGTCACGTTTTTAGAAGAGTTGAATCAAACTTAATTGTAAAATGTTTCCTTAAAATTTAAATAGTACCTCTGAACTCATTCATTACAAAGAAGTCTTCAAGATACAGCAGTTTTCCAATCCATGGGTCATACGTGAAGTAATACATGGCAAATCCCACAACACTGTATCCTGCAACAAAACGTATTTACTTTACATACATGTGCATACATACAGAGTACCTTTTTAATAAAGCAACAAGTTAGTATATACGAAATATCACATGCTTGTGCCAAAATAGTCACTCCGAACATGCAAAATTAATCTTATGCTGCAATAAGCCAAGTTTAGCACTCATCATACATTATAATGAATTGCAGTTTAAGTAAGATAGAAATTCCTAGCAAGTTAAGGCCATCCTGGAAAGTTCTAAGACCCTCAAAAACCAGCATCATATTTTTTGGTCACAGTTTCATGTTGTTCTTGCACATACCCAGGAATTACGTAATTGCAACACCTGGCAAGTTGTGTCAACAATTACATCATAATTATAGCCTTTTGCTGGAGAGTCTCTGTACATACCCTATTGATACCACTTTGGAAAACAATTCAGGCTTCTACAATTTTACACGGCAGATCAGAATATTGTGGCAAACATTTCAACTCTGCTTCCTTCTAGATTTTGGAACATAAAACTCCCAAAGCAAAAGCCCCTGAAGTTTGTTTTCCACGTTAATTGATGTTCATTTGTTTACAATGCAATCACTCTTTTTTTTTAAAGGAGGAGACTACAGGATTGCCTTTGTGACAGCTAAGAGCAAATACAGCAGCTATTATTTTTCCAATATGAATATTTCAAGGAAATAGTGATTGCTTTCAAGTGTTTTCTTTGTTTCATTGCTTGCGTCATTCTCCTATGCTTCTGCTTGAAAAGGGAACAATTGTTCACTATCCTTACTACATCCTAGTCAATATTCATATTTAGAACTTCAATCTTGTTACATGTAATCCAAGGAACAGAGTTACATACAGGATTTCTGATCTACCGAGTGTTTTGTATATGCTTTTTTCTCTTTCTTTTTGAGGTACATGTTTTGGAATAGGATTTGACCCTGGAGACCTTACCTCATATATCATGATCATCTACTTTATTGTGTAACGGATCTTTTAGTTACCTCCCCGCCCATCCATGTACACGGAAGGGCCATGTACATGGCGAAGCTAGAGACTGTAACCTGAAGATTGGGGACAAATTAAAGAAAACATGTGATTCAACAGGATTACATAGTGATAAGTTAGGGTCAAACAAAAACAGCCATGTAACGAAGTGGAATTATAGTTTTGTTCTTTTACGATTATACCTGGTTCTCCATCACCTTCAGGATAACTGAACAATAAGATACAATTTGAAAAGTTCAGTAAGTTTTAGCATTCACCTTTGCAATGAAGTATGGCTAGAGTCTTACTTTTGTTATTTACATTCTGTGATTTTCTAATTAATTTTTTTAAAAAAGTTTCACCTTCAGCTGTCCAGTGTTCTTTTGGCACTTCTGCAACAAGGCAGTGGTAAAAGGGATGTTCTCCAAAGCCGTCCTCAAGTAGATCTACAGGATTATAATAAATGTATTATCTAGCTACAGTTTTCCTATCCCCAGGTTGAATTGTCATAAAACTGTCCTGGTAGTCTTATTTTATATTACCTTTTTCAGTCAGTACCACTTGATCCTCCATTTCTTCATATTTAGCAAGCTCCTGTCCGAAACAAAGCATATATGTTTAGTTATATTTCATTGGACCAAGTTCTGTTAACATATTTTGCACTTCTTTTTCTTGCGCCATGGACCATAGTCTATATAGAAAAACCCATTTTATAGAATACTATCTGCTTCTCTTCTGAGAAGAGTGAAAATTCAGTAGGGAACTATACAGTTAATGGATTATGTACAGTATTGATTCTACACCCTGAAGGACCTGAGGGAATTGCCTAAAGATTAAGAAGGCAGCCCTTACACACACTGCCCCCAAAGCAGGCCCTAGTGAACACTTGAGACTTACTTCCAAATAAGGATGCACGGAATTGAGCTGTTCCATTCTTGACATGTTTTAAGCATTTAAAATGACAGGAACGAAAGGGTTAATAATAATTCCAATGTATTTAAGAAATGTAAGTTAATGCTAAACCTTTGGGGGGGGGGGAATTCCCAAGTGAAATATGTGTTCCTCAATGTTTGTATCTAATGGGACACCCCATCAAAGGAATTAGACCAGATGAACAGCTGAATCACTTTCAAGTGCAGTTCTGGCGCTGGGTCCTTGCTTCCTTTTTTCTTTACAGCAGTCACTTGTGCAGAGGGTAGAAACTGTCTGCAGCCTATTTCGCAACAGCAGGAAGAGGATGTTTTGCCAACTCAGGAGGGCAAAGGTGTCTGTGCCCAGAAGGAAGTTATTTCGCTTGCAGAACAAACAGTTCCCACCCTCAGTGGCCTACCTTTGCCCTTGAACTGTATGTGCTAAGCTAGACAAGAACTGGACGGGGGGGGGGGGAGACTCCTGAAAGATCGAAAACACAAGATCGTTTTTGCTTCCAGAGTAACTGCCATGGTGAGAAATTCTAGGCATGTTTACACTCCAAACGTATAAGATTGCAGTTCAAACGGGTGTGTCGCCGAGTACATACGTGGGGAATTTCTCTCTCGCTATACACACGTCAAACGTTAGCATTTTGGTTTGCTACACAAACCGCCTAAAGCAGGTGCAGGCTTATCTACGGGTACAAATACTAAGAGATCCGTGTCGTCCAGTCTCTTACTTTTATCCCACCTGAACTAAATTTTTTTGTCGTTCCTTTTTTTTTTTTTTAAAGTCGGAAGGCGTGTGGTGGCAACTGATAAAAATGCCCTACTTTGGCGTGCCTCGCTAAGCAGCCCCTCTGGTTGGCCAAGATAAAAGCGCGCAATTCTTCCTTCCCCCTCCGCCACCCAGGACGGCGCGCTCAGTTCAGAGAACAACTTTTATTATATTAAAAAAAGAAAAGACAAAACCTCTCAAGAGGCTTAAGACGAAAGGAGGCCAATGGAAGTGACTTTTGTTTTTCCACTCTTGTTCATTGCATCTGCTCGTTCCTTGCCTGCGCCTGGCCTGGCGCAGAGCGAGATCTACCTTTATGAGGCGCAGGAGGTCGGCGCAGTCCTCGGGCCGCGCGGCGCGGATACGGAACGAGGCCATTTTCGGCGGCGTTTCCCTTTGCGTCCCCCGCCTCGCGTGAGTCCCCGATAGTTGAAGAGCAGGAGGAGCAGTTTCTTCATTCGCGTCCCGGGCGCGGCGTGGGCAGCTGCGGCGGCGGCACAGGCACAGTCAGGCTGCCAGCATCCCGCAGCAGCTCACGGAGCGAAACAGCAAAGCCACCGAACGAGGGCGCAGAGGACTCTACTCCGGGTGCCCGCCGAGCAGCCCCTATTTATGCCACCGCCATCCCGACTCCCAGCCAATCACAAGTTGCCCCTCTATTCTGCCCCCCCCCCCGCCGCCGCCGTTCCTCCTTCGCCTCTTACCTCATCTTTCCAGGAAATGATGCCGGGTGGAAACTTCTGACTCATCAAGGCCCGAGGCAAAAGGCAAGCAAGGCTGTGCGGAGACCGCCACCTTCTGGAGCGAGTAACCCGCACATCACCGCGCCCTGCAGGGAGAGGGCCTTTGTCTCAAGCTTCCTGACCTCCTTGCAATCTCCCTTGCGGCACAGCCTTCCACGAAGGCTACTATCCCACCTACATCCCACCTACTGATGTATATGCTCACAAGGGAGGACTAAATATATATGGCAGTTTAGCATCGTATGCACATGTGTTTTTCACCTCATCTGCACAGCATTGTTCTCATCCAGGCGGCAGCCCAAGCCCCCCCCCCCATATTTAATTCGGATTTTCCTGATCCTGAGGGGACGCGGGTGGCGCTGTGGCTTAAACCACAGAGCCTAGGACTTGCCAATCAGAAGGTCGGTGGTTCGAATCCCTGCGACGGTGTGAGCTCCCATTGCTTGGTCCTAGCTGCTGCCAACCTAGCAGTTCAAAAGCACATCAAAAGTGCAAGTAGATAAATAGGTACCGCTCTGGCGGGAAGGTAAATGGCGTTTCCGTGCGCTGCTCTGGTTTGCCAGAAGCGGCTTAGTCATGCTGGCCACAGGACCCAGAAGCTGTACGCCGGCTCCCTTGGCCAATGAACCGAGATGAGCGCCGCAACCCCAGAGTCGGTCACGACTAGTCCTAATGGTCAGAGGTCCCTTTACTTTTTACCTTCCTGATCCCCAGTTGGGCTTATCCATACCTCTGTTTGCCCCCGCTTCCCCCAGGGGAATCAGGACAAGCAGCAAGCAGCCCTCAATGTGGTAATAGGGAAATCCAACATAAATCACATGCTACCCAACTATGAGGGTATTGAAGTTCATTTTGTGGGTGGGTTTTGGTTCTACCTGTGTGCTGTGCGGTAATGTTTTGCTAGGTGCCATCTAGCACCACATCCCCTAGTTCTGTTGGCCAGGCACTTCTCCATGGGCTGGTCACAGGCCACAGGCCACACAATTAAGACAAAAACAAAAATCTGCTTTGTGCAAGTCTGGTATATCAGAACACTTGTTTGGCACACACCCTGCTTGGCACACATCCCACACACATTTGCATACACATGTGCACAGGCAGGGAGCCTCAATGGCAACCTTCTGGAGGCTTCACCCAGAGCAAAAAACCAGATAGCCCCTCGCTCTCCAACTATGGCACTGCCTAAAGGTACATATCTTATGTGACATCTCTGATTGTCTTTGCCTTTACTTCAAAGTAGCTGCCAGAGAAGGGCCACAATTTGATCAAGGAAGTGGTGCTGGGGAAAGGGAGGGGAGCAAAGAAACCTATGCCAGGTCCCCAGCCTGAATTGTCTCACAGAGGTTGCTATTAGCCCTGCTCAAAAAGGAATGCCACAGTTGAGTAGCTTTGGGGTAACAATTTTACAAGAACTCCAGAAACCACCTTATGCGATTGGTCTGCCTACCTCAGTATTTTCAATGCTGACTGGACTGGCTGTAGCTTTCCAGGGATTTTGTCTGGAGTCTTTCCCAACCCTGTCTGGAGCTGCCAGGAACAGAACCCTGGACCTTCTGCCTGCAAAGCTTGTGAATTTTTAACTTTGTTGTAACACGTTGAACACCATCTGCTCTCAAGACTTGTTCCATCTAACTCCTTGCTTTAAGGAGACGAACAGAGATGAATCAGTGTTATAATCTTCTTTCTAATAAATGTACAAGCAGCTTGGCCATTTGTTTTTGTTTTTAGGCAGATGCAGAGATGTAGGGCCTCTAGGACTTTTATGGGTTTATAAACAAATAAATCAGATGGAAATTATGGCCAGTGACGCAGTCACCATCTGGATTGTATTAACTATGGTTAGCCTGTCCCACATATATAAATGTATGGTATGAGAAACAGGGTTGCCATATTTCAAAAAGTAAAATTCCTAACACCCACAAATTTACTGAGCTTTTTGGGGTTTGTTTGGTGATTTTAAGCTCACATCGGCCCCAGCCAGCGTGACCGGTGGTTTGAGGTGTTTGGAGTGGTGGTTCAACAAAATCTGGAGGCGCATAGGTTGATCATCCTGATAGGTAGAAGAACAAAATTTATTAGAGAGCAGGAAAACTGACCTTGTATGTTTCTAATTACATGTGTGGGAGGGAAGAGAAAAAGAAATAAACTGCCACATCCTATGCATGCTTCGCCCAAAAGAGGAGAAAACACAGCACAGAAAATCCAAAAACAGCATAAAAAAGCAGACATTTCCCCCAGTATCCTGGGAAAAAACACTACAGCCCATTAACTGGGGACCATCCTGGCAACCACACCCATCTGCCACCCACATACAGAGGCAAGCAACTGAAAAAAACTGAGCACGTGGCCCCTGCACATATACCTGCACCAATGGAAACACAATGCACACAATGCCACAGTGTTCCCATTCCATCAGCCGCAGTAGCGTAGTTTCTAGTGTGGCTAGTCTCCAGACACCTCTCATGCAAGGATTCGGTTTCATTAAAGCTTTTCCTGAGCACTGTTTTCTGAGTGCAACACACTGTGGCTGTGTACACGCTACCATTTAGTCTAGCTCAGGGGTCAGCAACCTTTTTCAGCCATGGGCTGGTCCACCATCCCTCAGACCATGTGGTGGGCCGGACTATATTTTTGGGGAATAAATGAACGAATTCCTATGTCCCACAAATAACCCAGAGATGCATTTTAATTAAAGGCACACATTCTACTCACGTAAAAACACACTGATCCCTGGACCGGCTGCAGGCCCGATTGAGAAGGCGACTGGGCTGCATCCGGCCCCTGGGCCTTAGGTTGCCTAACCCTGGTCTAGCTTCAGTGAGCTCCCACCACTGGTGTTTTTAGCGGTATAAATAAATAAATAAATAGATAGATAGATAGATAGATAGATAAATAAATAAATAAATACACACACATGACTTTAGCCACAATCCATATCTATCCTATAGTTGCTTGACAAATACTGCTGTTTCATTCTCTCCATCTGATTTGAAAAGGTAATACAACACGTTCCTGTCACAATTATGCTGAGATGTGTATGTTGAGACAGCCGCTGCATATGCACAGATGCCACAACCATGCTGTGTTTTAAGCTCCTAGTGTGCCTATAGCCTCAAAGGAGAGGAAGGAGAGCCAACACAATACGAAGCAAGGGGGGTAGGAGACATGAGCTTCAGCCCCACTAAGGAGGTGGTGGCAAATATGGACTCATTTTGCCTTTTGGATGTATAGCAAGAAAGAAAAGGCCACCTCACTGTAACCCACTATCATCCATATATATATATATATATGAAATGATATTATATATAAGTTATATAACTCAAGTGATGGCAGTAACTTTAACCATCTCTTTGCAATTCCATTAGAGCAACAAATACATTCTGTGTGCTACAAATATCTTGACTGCCTTAAGGATGCACATAACGAAAACGGAACAGTAGTGGAATCGGAAGGGCACCTACCCTGAAATGCTACATGCTGAGCTTGCCCCAACAGCTACCTCTAGGAAGAGAAGAGGGAAGGGGAATTGCTACACCTTATGTAGGTAAGTGCATTTTCAGTTCTGCTTCTACCATCTGCAGTATACATTTAAAATAGCACCATACCATTTTAAACACTTTCTTCCAAATAATCCTGGGAAGTGTAGTCTGTTAAGGGTGCTGAGAGTTGTTAGGAGACCTCTTTCCCCCTGCACAGAGCTTCATTTTCCAGAGTGGTTTAACAATCAATTCCTCTTCCCAGGGAACTCTGGGAATTGTAGCTCTGTAAGGGAAATAGGGATCTCCTGACAACCCTCTGCACCTTTAACAAACTATACTTCCCAAGATTCTTCGGGTGGAAGCCGTGACTGTTTAAAGTGGTATGATACCAACTGAAATCTATGGTGCAGATGGGGCCTTAGGAATATGAACAGCATTATAAATGAAACAAGACCTGCCAGGTGTGTGCAATAGCCCATGTTTTACATGCAGAGGGACCTACCCAACACAAGAAAGGGACAAGTTAAGAGAAGTACTGTATGCACTAATTGTTTGGCGCTAACCAAACAGTACAGGCGCTAACCAGTCCTTTTGGCCTTCCTCTGGAAAACCGTGTGACCATCTGCTCACCCTGTTTTGCCTGATGGACCAGTCCTGTGAGTTAGCCACTGAACATGCCTTGTCCTGCTCCTTCCTTATCTCTTCCTTCCTGCCCCCTCCTTGCAAGTGACTGCCTCATATGCCCTTCACAGCAACACCCATTTGATCTGTGAACCCGGAGACACCATCCCTCCTTGCAGTCCCGAGTGAGCAAACAATTAAGGGGCCACTGCCATTTGACATGAGGGCAGTCGCCACTAAAACTGACAAGTATTCTATGAAGGAATTTCTGCTAACGTTGAAATACATGTGGACACACTCATGAATAGCATGCTATAAAAACTGGATGCTATAAAAACTCAAATAAACCAGTGCAGCTGCACTTGAGAACTGGGGTGTGGGTGTCATATTAGGCCAATGTTGAGGATTAATGCTTAATCCACATTCCACAGCTAGGCTGCAGCCATGGATGACTTCACATGCTGCCCAGCCCATATCTTCATAGTTTATCTGAAAAAAAACACAACTATCATTCATAGCAAACAAACGAACACCATATCAGAAAACATATGCTTGCAACAGGAGGCATCTCTTTTGTGGTACTTATCCCTAAAGCTGGGAGCTATTCTCTCTCAAATCGGATTCTCCCATGCAAACTCACCCCATGGCTCTGTTCTGAGGAATGGGGTTATTATTAGCAGGCCAGGACACTGGTCTGATTTGGGATTCGAAGCTCAGAATCAAACTAAATGTCAGTTTAAACTGGACAACTAAATTGCACATTGAATGATTTGGAATGGAAAGAAGAGTGGTCCTGGACTGAATGGGGAAATAATGGGGATCGAGTCCCACAGGAGAAAGCTTGCTTTAAGTCATAGTAGTTCATCATGAAAATGCTTCCACTGAAATAAATAATAAACAATAAAAAATAGTCCAGTAGCACCTCAGAGACCAACTAAGTTAGTTCTGAGTATAAGCTTTTGTGTGCGTGTTACACTTCTTCAGATACCCACATGCATGGGTTGAACAGAGTTTAAAGTCCCATCCTTAGCAGCAAATTGAAACACAGGAATTAGGTTCCAAAGTCTTCTTTTGGACAAGTCCAGTTGCAAAACAAGCTGCATCTCCCTTTTCTTAACCCGCTTAACAAAAAATCAGACAACAGATTGGGAAAAAAGTTTAAAATATTATTTACTTACTTATAGTTGTGCATTGGTTCTCAGCTACAACAGCAGTAAAAACTATACAGCTAAAATATTTATATTTACAGTAGAAACAGCCTTGGGCACATGCCTGAGCTGGAGCAACAGGAGGCATGTCTGCCCCCATCAAAGGTCAAAATGGGGGGGGGGGGAGAGGGAGGGAGAGAGAGAGAGAGAGAGAACAGGAAATTACTACAGTATATGCTCCTTTCCCCTCTCTATCAATTACGTTTCTATGGTCTGACTCTCTGCCTGTCAGCAATACAGTGGTACCTTGGGTTACAGATGCTTCAGGTTACAGACGCTTCAGGTTACAGACCCCACTAACCCAGAAATAGTACCTCAGGTTAAGAACTTTGCTTCAGGATGAGAACAGAAATAGCAGTGGGAGGCCCCATTAGCTAAAGTGGTGCTTCAGGTTAAGAACAGTTTCAGGTTAAGAACGGACCTTCGGAACGAATTAAGCTCTTAACCAGAGGTACCACTGTACAGCTCTGTGGTCTTAACACCTTCTCATGCTAATTAGCAAAAAATATGCATTGTTAGATTTGGTTGCTAAATCTCCCACATATAGTTCCTTGGGATTTTACTCCCATGTTTGATGTATTGTCTGCTGTGGCCTTCCCCACCCCCTCACTTTCAAATAAAAACATTCTGGGTTTGGCTGTGAGGCTACAACTTAAATCACATCATGCAAATAGAGCTTTGACAGTATATTGAAAGAAACATTATCAACTTGAGCTACATTTGGGTAAACTTTATTTCATTACACTGTCAGAAGCATATATAGTGAAAGGATGTACAACCACTGCATTTTCAACCTAGCGTATTTTAAAAATTCTTATCCATCTACTTCTTTGCAAGGCTTCTGCTCTTTTCTTTGTTCACAATCTCAAAGAAAGATCATTCTTCCCCATTAACTTTCTTCCCTGTGGTAATGGCAACAACAGTGTTTATGTTAAACATATCCTCCACCCCAGTGTTTTGTAGAAAGCTCCTTCTTTCCAAATGTAGCAAAAAGTGACAATTTAGTTTTTTGGATTAACTATTTTTCCAGTATTAATTCCTATACAGTTTGGACTCAAATGCTGCCAAATACACAATTAAAAGAAAAAGAAAGCAATTATTGTATTATAAAGCTACTAATCCTTCCTAAAATAGTTAACGTGGGAAAGAAACTTTGTAAAGAGACAGAGGAACTTAATCCAGAGAAATGGATGTTGGGGTATGTAAGAAATACTGCTACTAAAAATACATGTATAACAATAATCCCGTTGATATAAAAATCATGTCATGTGTTCTGTATTAATCCAGAACAACAACCTTGACCTTTCTGAAGTTGTGAGGATGGAACAGTAGAAGGGACAACACCACTGTTGTCTGGTGCCCCTTGGGACTGGTATGCTCTCTGAGAGGCAAATGACAACGACCATAATTATTTGAAGGAACAAATGTGTTTCAATGGTATTTTCAAGGTATATGTACACAGCCTCAAAATGGCTGCCATTTATGTCTGGGATGTGGGGCGTATGGCTCTTGGGAATAACACTGCAATGGGGCAAAACCTCTATGGCTAACACCCCATTTTCTGAGATAAAGTTATGTGATGAACCTTTCCTTGGCCAATTTTTGGTGTTCCAGTGTTAGATTAATAGAATTGGAAGGGATCCCAAGGGTAATCTAGTCCACCCCGCCCACCTGCAATGCAGAACTCCTGTCCACAGCCATCAATGGGTGGGCTCAAACCACCAACCTTCTGGTTAACAGCAAGACCCGCTGGGATTTGAAGGAGCCTTGCAGGCATCCTTCCTCCAGTGCTGTTCTGATTTGGTTTTAAGGACTAGATTTTATTGACTATATTGTATTGCATTTTATATGTAAACTTGCTTGATAAGTCACACTGGAGTGAAAAGTGGTATACAGTGGAATCTCGGGTTGCGAACGTGATCTGTTCAGGAAGCACATTTGCAACCCGCAGAGTTTGCAACCCACAGTGCCACGTCTGCGCACACCGCAATTTGGCGTTCCTGCGCATGCACATCGCACAATTTAGCGTTTCTGCGCATGCATGCACCGAAACCTGGAAGTAACCTGTACTTCCGGGTTCGGCGCAGTGCGCAACCCAAAAACGCGTAACCTGAAGCGTCTGTAACCCGAGGTACCACTGTATGTATACAAAGTGGGAAACAAATAAGTAAAAGGAGCCCAATGCTGAAACCAATATGGTGCCCTCTGGATCTTGCTGGACTTCAACTCCCAGAACCTCTTGGCCATGCTGTCTGGGGTGGAGCTCATGGGAGTTGGAGTCCAATGGGAGGGCACCCTATTGCCTTCCCTTAAGGACTGGACTCCCAACTCCAGCTTTTATGCATGCGTTGAACGGGTGAGAAAACACCTAATTTTGAATCTAGCCCACTTTGGAGTAGATCCCAGCACTCTAAGCACTCTGACTTGGGAGTAAGTCTCCGCTGAGTGGCTTTGCGCTGCAAACTCGCCATTAATCCCTCCCCGCACGGCCCTGACCTCGCAAGCACACCGGAGAATCAAGCCTAGCAGTATGAGAGGGGACGAAGTCAACGAGAGCGGCTCCTCCGAATGTAATGGACGAACCCGACGCCTAAGCGCGGAGATAGGCCTTGGGAGCAACTACTGCGGGGAAGAGGGGCGCGTTCTGCCGCAGAAACCAGCAACCCCTCCGAAGAGCTTGCCGATCCAGGCGGCGGGGCCGAGTTCCTGTTCCAGGCGTGGCTGCTGCGTGCCTCGGTAGAGTGAGTCACAGGGCTGCCAAGGCGGTTTCCCAAGTGCCGCAGGAAGGCGGGCTGCAGCCTGTGCAAGGAGCAGAATGTTGTCCCCGAGGTAAGGCAATTCCTGGCGGCGGCGTCTGCATCCAGCCAGCTCGGGGCGGGGAAGAGGGCTCCGCACAGGCAGGCGCGCGGCACTTCCAGGGCCGAGTGGCAGCGCCGAGGTCGGTTAATAGAAAGCCAGGCAGAGGCGACCGTTTAGGGAGAGCGGAGGCCCGCCCCTCCTTCCCCTTTCTCTCCGCTTCGGCCTGCGCCCTGGCAGGACGGGAAGACCTGGCCGGAGCCAAGCATTGCTTTCGGACGTACGCCTCGTCTGGGGCCTCCTTTTCCTGGGAGACAAGCGCTAGACACGGCATACGGTCTCTGGGCTCCAGAGGACTAGCCTCGTGACAGCAGGAAGCCGCAAGAAGTGCCACGGCAGCAGCGCATAGTGCAGTTTGAATCACGCTGACTCCGAAGTAAAGTCCTCCCTGGTTTCCCTGGAACTTACACCTGCGTAAATGTGACTAGGATCGCGGACGTGAAAGATTAACCAATACTGTTAATTTCAGGAGAAGAATTTGGTGGGGTTGGGCACCAGTGAGTCACTGGACAGTCGAAGTTCTGCCACCCATTTTTGAGTATTTTAATGCAACGTTTGGCCAACTATTCAAGTTAAAAGTTCTACTACACTCAACTGTGTATTCATAAAGTACCAGGGCACACAGGACGGGTGGTGCTTGGGCCAATGGCCTTGGCCAGTTTGTGCTTTTGCCTCCCCACCACTGACAGGCCAGCCTGCAAGGTGCTCCTTGCTTGTGCCTGGCAGAAGCACCCTGTTGAGAGAGGAGGGGCCACTGCTGCTGAACCCATTCAACTTCCCTGCTGTCCCATGAAAACCCCCTTGTGAGGCTAACTAAAGATGATACTAGGATGTGGGAAAGGTATCCCTATCTACAAAGGAAACCAGCAGATGTACCAAAGCCTATATTATCCAGGCTGGGGTAGATCATGAAAGGGAAAGACAGTTGGTCACCCCAGAAGGGTCAGTGTCATGACACATAGCAGGGATAGCAGGTGCAATATCACTTCTGGTTTCAGCTGCAAGTTAGGAAAACCTTCACCTGTTGCATAACAGCCATGGAACATGCAATTGTACAGGAACCCACTTGGAGCAAGTAGATTAAGAACCCCACTGAGAAACAGCCAGGAGCATCCTGGTTAGTGCTGCCTTTCTATTGGTCTGCATACAGAGGACAGCCCAAAGCAATGAGCAGCAGTTAACAGCCAGAGCACAGAGTTCCTGAACCTGGATGCACCATAGGTGTTGTAAAAAAGAAGGGGAGGGGTGGTCCCACCAGCTCAACCAGTTGGTGTTTCAGCCTCCTCCCTCATGGGGTGGGGTGGGGGGAAATGAGTGACTGCAAGTATACTTCTCCCTTCCTTGTTGCAGTGGCCCTCTTAGTGTAGTGACACCTTATTCTTCCTGGATCCAGACATTGATTCTGCAAGGCAAAAATGTTCATGCCTGTTTGGCCAGCAGTGGCAATGCTGTCAGTGGCCCACCACTTTCCTGCATTTTAGCTGTTCAGCCAGCATTTCTGTTCTGATAGTGATGCTTGCATACTTCCAGCCTGGTGGGACTTCTGCCATATCCTCTGGCTCCCATTTCATGGATCTCAAGTATAGGATTGCGCCTTTAATGCCACCTATGATATCATACTCTTGACAGTATTCATTCTCCTTTTGATGCAGATGGTTTTCATTAAGCAAGGCCTGTCCTGCCCTGGCCAGGATGCTGACTTCCTCCCCCAGTGGCTCCCAGGTTTCCCAGACTATGGAGGAAGGTAATGTAACTGGGCTGCAGGCAGGTGTGAGAATACGACCAGAAAGGTTGATCTGTTTGTTTAGTGGCATCTGTAGCAGTAATAGCTGTAACTGGGCTTCTGTGTGGGAACTGTTTACGAAACAAATATGTTCTTAGCGTAACTTTTTCCAGGAGTAAACAGAAAGTAAAAGTAACGAACACAGTGAGTTGTCATTAGAAGCACATCACTCCATAGCACCAAATTGCTTAGTGGAAGAAAACTGGACCCTCCAGAATGATACTCAGTGACCTTGAGGCCTCTCTGCACCCACATCCACATTTACATGTGATAAGAAGGGAAACTATATTTTTTATGAAATGGCCTTGCTCTATGGCTGCAATAGGTGAGGGGTGTCTCAATAGTGTTGGGTGCAGTACAGGCAGTTCCCCTGTATGGGGAACCGAGTAGAGGGGACGCAAAATAACAACAACAACAACCACAATAAAACCCATCTATTATATATAAGGGTTGTGCGTCAAATTTTGTCCCAGCTCAAGGTGCCATATTACCAAAGTCTAACACAGTCTAGCAAACCAGCCTTGTTATCTTAACCTTCCCACAATTTACAGTGACTGGCTAGTTCCATGCAGGCAGTGGCCTGCATCATCAACACCAGTTCCTTGTAACACTTTATTATGCGATCCATAATAGATAAAAGTGTAAACACATGTTTTGAATTAAGTAGTTGTTTAACCACGTCTGTTATTATTCTGTATACTGCAGCCTAGAATGTCTGCATTTGCAGGCAGACCCACCACAGATGAAATAAAATTTCTTTCTCTTACAATACCCCAGTCTAGCACATGGGAGACATTCTGTTCCGTTTTATCTATGATACACAATTTTGTTACCTTTTTTAATTTAGATTTTAGGAATCTTACTGAAAGTTGTGTGATGTAACTATAATAATAGTTATGAGAAACGTGGAATAGAGGATGAAGATAAAGGAAGCAAACACAGCTATTGAGTACCCTACAGTGCTATGTACATTTGGAAAACAAACAGAGGGACATCTTAACTTTAGCACAGAAATAAATGATCAGTACAACAGAATTAAATCATATGTTAGCACACTTGTGCATACACTTCTGCATTTTGTGACTGAGTCCAAATTGACTGGGAAAACAATGCAATTAGGGTTTTTGCCTTGTGTTTTATGACACTGATAATCTAAATGGCTTTTTCTACTTTTCAGGACATTCACCCATTCATGTGAATAATGGTGTGTTGTGGTAACCTGTATGCATTTTAATATGGCTATACATCTGCTTCTGTCTTGCTTCTATCTTTCTTTGTTGGACGGTTAATGAAATATAAACATTAATATTTTCTGGCACCGGTTGCAAGTTAGCGTTGTTGGTGGCACTAAATGGGTTCACACTGCTAAGCAAATAAAGCATGTCTTTTTAATCAAAATATCATCTCTGTATGCCTGCATCTTGTGCTGTTATTTATGTTTACAATAAATCAGAAGACAAGTACCCAGGGACTTGTATAAATTTATGTTGAATCTAGAACCTTGTATTCAAATAACTGGTGAGCAAGCTGTGCCTCTTAAATCCCTGGCTCATGATCTCCAGTTTTCCAAAGCTTTCTTAAGTCCATGTCCTTCCAATGGTTCAAAGTGTCATTTACAGAACAACATAAGAAAAAGAGAGGTTGGTAAGCGTGACATTTTGTAATACTTTGAAATAAATATGGGTCCAATCATACACATTCAACCTCTTATTCCTAGTCCCTGTGTGAGGATTTGCCTCAGTCCTACTTTTTTGTTTTGTTTTCCTTACTCAGCTCCATACTGTTGCTACCCAATTTTTCCTAATGTTCAAACTTCAGACCAATGACTTCTTTCCCCCATTTCCTTTAACAGTTTACCAGATGGGCCTATAGGGACATTGCTAGTCAACACCTAACCAATTACTATATGTGCTTCCCTTAATAAGAGCTTGACAGAACAAAGGGCAGTAGCTCAGCGATAGCATATCTGTTTTGCATGCAAAATGTTCTGGATTCAATTCCTGGCATCTCTAGGTAGGACTGGGAAGGACTCCTGCCTGAACTCCTGTAGAGCCACTGCTACTCAAATGTTGACAGTACTAAGCTAGATGGATCAGTGGTGTAACTCTACAAGGCATCTCCCTGGGCACTGACTTAAGATACTTCATTTGTAGTAATTTGGAATGCTGTTTCCATATTTGCGTGTGAGGGTTATACAGCTTGTAACTATTCTTTCAGGCAGTCTTTCCCCACATTTGGACAGACGTAAGCAGAACAGATGTGTTGGGTGGGAAGCAATTTCACTCCTCAACAGTGGTGCCATATCCATGATTAAGGATGAATTATCTCTGTCTCTCAAGGGGCAAATAGCTTTCTGAAGGACAACCTTCAGAGCTGGTGCTATGTGTCAATGAGTTGTGGTCAGCAGTAGCATATCATCACACAGAAAGATAAGGAAAGCAAACAACACAGCTTGTATAGTTGAGCAACACCACTTTACGATATAAAAATTTGATACCGCTAGGCTAATTACTGCGAATAAACAACACCAGACAATTATTGTGTTATTGGGGCCATCAAGAAAAAAAGAAGTCATATTCCTTGATAGCTGGAAATATCTCCCTTTTTTGGATTTAGGCAGTGGAGTAGCAGAGAAATGCCGTTGTTTGAATGTGGGAACAATGAAGAATCAGAGATACTGGGAGGTTTTTGAGCTTGAGTTTAGCTGTGCCAGAAGCAGCATGGAAGGAACTACAGGGGCCCGCTCTATACAGTTACTCTGTGGAAACCTGAGGATTACTGATTGTGTTTCCCATTTTAAGGGTCAGCTTGTTTCCACTAAGCTCTGCTTGAATAAGATCATCAGTTTCCATTTCTCTCTTGTGCAAAGGAAACAAAAACCTGTGGTGCTGCTTCTGGAATCTCCTACCACTTGAGAAAGGAAAAGTGTTTAACAAGAAATGTTACTTCTTTTATAGCTCAAAAGAAATACAAACGTGTATAATGGTGGGTGTTTTTTTGTTTTGTTTTTATGAAGACTGAATGTACTTGGGGAGGGAACATCTGATCCCTACAGTCCAGACAGAAGGAACATCTGGTTGATGTGGCTTCCCTGCTTGTCCTACTGGGTTGATGGCAGAATAGTCTGTATGGGCTGATTCCTGCAGAGGGGTGATACTGATCCATAGGAAATATACCTGCAGCTTCCAAGGACATTCCTTCAGGAGTATTGACCACTGCTGTACAGATGTACCCTAAACACAGCCTATGGATGGAAGTCAGTGTTGGCCTTACCATGAGATGAAGTGAAGCTACTGTCTCAGATCATGGATTGAAAAACTGAGGGCAGCAAAAATGGGCCACTCCTTAAATTGCAAAATGTATACATGAAGCACACCAATCTGACCATAAGATGAAAACAGGTCTAGAGCAGAGGTGCTCTAGAACAGGGTGGCTAACTGAAGTACCTTCAGATGTTGTTGAATTCTGACTCCCATCATCCCTGCCAGCATGGCCAGTGGTCAGGAACAATGGGAGTTGCAGTACAACAAATACCTAAAGGTTCACAGGTGAGCCATCCCTGTTCTAGAATATATATGATATTAGCAGGTGGAATCTGGATTCTTCTTGAGTGGCTAGAAAAATAAGTCTGGACCACAGATTTTGAAATTTGCCCTGGTAGGTTAGGTGGACTGCATGTGTTTATTATAGTTGACCTGGAAGAAGAGTCCTCTGACTCCTGAACTTTAAGAAAAGGGCACTGGACCTCCAGTAGTTTCAAGTACATATTTGATGCTTCTTCTGGCATGGTTGTACATTATTAAATACAAAATGATTAATATTCTAGTCATATGTAGTGCCATAAAACCTTGCCCAAGGTTGTTGCTGGCTCTGTGAGTTGAGCTTAGCCGACTTAATTAGAGCAAAATGACTGGGTTTGTTTAAGTCATCCAGCTTACATGTAACCATTTTAATTGATTTGAGGGGTGCAGGTGTTTTGGACTGTTAGATTTACTTGCTCTGATGACTAGATGTATTAGCCTTGAGCCAGCTGAGGTAACGCACAACTGCCAGTGGCCTTGCATGGGGATCCATATCGTAGCCTGCCTCAAAAGTGTCATCCATCCAGTTTGTTCAGTGGCAAAGAGCATTCTGATATGTAGCGGCAACTTTTTGCATATGCACATGGAAGCTTGGCTCTGTTCATGGGTTTCCCTTATAATATCAGAGCACATGAATACAGAAATCTATGAATGTAGACTGAATAACTTACACATTTATTTTAGAATGTGCAGGCTTTCTTGCTGGGTCAAATTTGACACACTCTCTCTCTCTCTCTCTCTCTCTCACACACACACACACACACACACACACACAGTCACAAGGATCAGTTGGATATTTTTGGTTGAAAAAAGGTAAAAGCTGTCATAGTCTCCTGTGGTTATAATGGTGTATCCCCTGTTAGCAGGAATGAACTTCACCAGCTGTTGCTTTTCATCTTCTCTTTTGCATGACTTTGCTTACTCTTCTGCTTCTTGGGAGGGTAGTAGTACCCTTTTGGTCAGTTAATGCATCAAATATTTCTGATTTTGTTGTGTTGCAGTGCGAAATAGATTGAGGGAGATAGTGGGAGCATCTACCAATTGGAGGTATGACACATGCAAAGCTTTCTTTGATTTTTTGATAGTTGCATTTCAAAATAAAGCAGAGCTGATTGGAATGTCCTCTTTCAGAGATTTAACCAGCTGTCTTCAAACTCTGAGGGTCTTTGCCCCTACAGGAATGATGGTGATGATTATGACAATACTTCTCATAAATGTTAATAGTTTATATGCATTATCTTAGTAATCCTTTAAAAAAAATCCTTCAGAGAAAGTAAATTATTATTATCCCTAAATTACAAAAATGATTTGAATCTGATAGTGCTTGCCTTAGGCTGTAACCAGGTTCAAGGTGGGCCCAAGATTTGAACTGGTGATTTTCCAGCTCAAAGATCTTGATCTTAACCATTATGCTATGTACGGTAACTCTACTCTAGTAAACTTGTATTACATTTTGCAAGCTGTGTCCACTCGGAATCATCTGGTTTGTTTTCCTCCAGAGACCATGTGCAAGCAATGAATGAAAGGAAAGCTTTACATACCCTCCTTGCAAAAAACCAAGCTGACCTGCCCCCTAGGAAGATGAGAGACAGCTATATAGAAGTTATCCTGCCTTTGGGAAGTCAACCTGAAATAAGAGAAAAATATCTGAACGTGCACAACTCTGTCAGGTAAACTCAGTTGCCTTTTTAATAGAATGAATATCTTCCTAACTTGGTGCCTTACCATTTGCAGTGTTATCTTAGGTACCATTTTGACTTATAAATCACCCCCCCAAAAAACCTGGCTCTCCTAATTATTATATGTGAATTTTCAAAAGGATCAAACTATTGAGATGTTTAATGATACATTTTTAAACTTCAGATTGTCCTTTTTTAAAACAACAACAACACTGCCACAGAACTATGTTGGATTCGTCCCAGCATCTTGCAAAGTAATCTTACCTTGTATCATTTTAACCTTGGTAGGTTTGGCCGAATTCTTGAAGATCTTGATAGCTTAGGAGGTATGTAACAGCCATGCAGTTTCATTGATCTGGTAGTCAGATTAATTTGGGTAATCAGAATTCTGGGGTCAGATATTACACAGAACTGGGATGCAAGCGAAAGGCATGTGAGTGACTCGGGCTTCAGGAGCTAGATGGGAAATCTTCCCTTGCCATGGCAAGGATGGTGACTAGAGAGAATGGATCCTTGATTTTTCTTTAATCTATCCCAGATCCTTAGAGAAGGCAGCCAGTCTGTGATGCAAAGCACGACTATCCGGAAACAAGGGCTGCCAAAATCTCGGAAACCTTTTCCCAAGCCAGGATTTGTGTTTTGGTGGTGCATTGCATCCACTGGAGCTCTTCACATGACTTAAAATGAACCCATTTTAAGTATATTTGTGAACGAGACATTTTCATGCATGTTCCTTGTTTGTTTGAGCTCGTCAAGTGTTATTCTTGGAATGACACAAATACCACATTGTAAAATTTTTACTGCACTCCCTTTCATAAAAATCTATAACTACAGAGAATAAATCATGCAGTCTCTTTTATCCTTTCTCTACAGTTCTGATTTGTTATACACACACAAAGCATGAAGCTGGTCAGATGTCTCCTTTGTCGATTGTTACAGCGCTGGTGGATAAAATTGGTACGGTGTTGTTGGATCTATTAAAAAACTTAATGCTTGAACTAGGAGTGCTCGCTGTGTTGGGTAAAAAGAGCTAGGCTTCATTTTGACATAAATGTTGGGGGGAAGGGCAGGAGATAACTGCTCCACCTCTTTTGGATAAGACTTTCTTCAGGCTGCCAGATGTTACAATAAATGTGCATTTGCTTCCAAAACAACACCTGTGTTTCCATGCCCCTACTTTCATTTTAACAACTTGTTAGGTCCATTATGTCATGATTTCCGCCCCCTCTGCTTCTCCCCCACACTAAATCAGTGATGTGGAGCAGGGCAGTGCTGAAATATCAGGTCACACATTTCCCCAGTTAGATACTGCCCTAAGAGGAAAGGCAGCAAAATGTGCTGCAGCCATTTTCTGTGGCAAATGTTCACTTCCTGTTGCATCTTGCTTGACCTGAAGAAGGTGCCTGGCAAACCTTTCTAGGGAGCATTCTACAGCTGGAGTCTGAGAAGGCTCCTCTCCCTAGTAGCCACCCAGCTCCCTTCTCTTGCTGGTGGCACCCAGAGTAGGCCTTTAAAAGGATCTTAAGGGGTGTGGGGCAAAGACAGTCTTTTAGGTATCCTTGTCCCAAGTCATTAAAGGCTTTAAAGGTTAAAATGGGCACTTTTTCTGACTTGTAATAGATAACCAGAGGTAAGTTAGCTTCCTTGAGCTAGAGAAATTAAGTTACTTATCTTTAGTGTCTATGCTCTGACTCCTGTTTGTTTGCTTTTAGGATTATGGAAGCAGGATATTCGTCCAGACTGTGATATCAAGTTCATTGGGAATGTTTCATGGGTAGGAAGGACATCAATGGAAGTAAAGATGCACATGCTTCAGGTTGTAATTTTTCCATATAAAAAGTAATACACTTTATGAGTGCCTGAGAGTTCTAAAACAAGGGCCTGGTTCACATATGGCATTAAACCACAGTTAAAAACAAACTGGTTTAATGTGAATGTGCACATTAGTTCTCTCTGCTCTGCTTTTGCACTTGTCGCATCACCAGGAAATCTGACATGTTTGATGTCCCACCCCGGGCTTTTGGTTTGTTTCTCTCCAAACAAACCCTAGCTGGCAATTAAGGTTTGTTCTTGGGTTATTGCTTGCATGTATTTTGGGAGAAAGAAAGCATGAGCCTGGGTTTGGGCGGAACAACAAGCCAAACACTGACTTGTTTTCTGATGGTGCAGCTGGAGAGAGAGAGAGAGAGAGAGAGAGAGTAATGCAGTGTGCCCCAATTTCCAATAAACCATACCTTGTATTTAGCTATAGTTGAATGTGGTATGTAAACCAAGCCACTATGAAGGCAGAACATAACTTTGCGTTATCAGCAGGAACAAGACTAGTTTGCTAAAGATGATTTCCCTTCCATTGTTTTCTTTTAGTTTCACGATGGTGCTTATCATCCTGTATTAGATGCAACTTTTGTCATGGTGGCCCGTGATCCAGAAAACAAAAGGTAAGGCTTTCAGTAGACCATTGGGAATAATTGTACAGTGACAATGGTAAAGTCTTTTGCTGAAGGGAGGACAAAAGAGGAGAGAGCTGCTTGCCCATGGGGGCCGAGCTGCGACACTAGCTTCCTGACACGACTGCTGCTTACTGAAAAGTGGGGAGATATGATGCCGGGACTTGGAATGCTATGTTCTCGGGCGGCATAGTCACCCTCTCCCTCTGTGGAAGTGCAGTGATGCTCTGCAGAGCTTCACTATAGCTCGGTCCCGCTGGAGAGCTGCGGATAGCCTACTGCACAAACCTCAGCAGGCCTCAGCCTCTAGCGGTAGTGACAGTGACCTCTGCAGGGCGTACACACGAATAGTCCGCCCCTAACCGTGACTGGCCCTAACCTGTGGTTTGAACCGGGATTCCAACCCATGTTGCGCCGTGCGGCCGGCCCCTGCCCCCCACTGCAGCACTGCAGGCATCACGGCCTCATTTATTTCCTCCCCTTTATGCACAGGCCCAGCATTTGTGAACCCACTGATTCTTGAAAGTCCAGAAGAGGAAAAAATCTTTAAGGAAGGCGAAGGTATGTAATGCATTCCTCGGGGTTGTGAAGAATTTCTGGTTGTGGTCCATTCTCCCATTTCATAAAGGGCATTTAAAGATGGATTTTCAGGGTTCTCCCTCCAGCTCTGCTCTTATAAGTATTGAATATGTGGAAGATCAACATGATTAATAGATAATAGGGGAAGGAATTTAATTGTCCCAATTGGCTTGTAACAAGCCTGTCCACTCCATTTCACTTCCTTAAATATCCTTTTAAAGCCATGGAAGCCAGTGGCCATCATTATGCTACGCTGGCCACTTCCGCAGGTGAATTATGCTTGGGTGAAGAAATACTTTCTTTTGCCTGCCCCAAACTTACCACTGATCAATTTCCTTTGCAGACCCAATGTGTCATTATTAGTTTTGAAACAGGAGGGGGTTGGATACAGTTATTGGAAACTTATTTCCACCAAGTAATTTTCTGCTCATTTTCATTTACTCGGTTAGCAAACAAGACCAGAAGAGTTGATTCCAGTAGGGCTTCCTTGCTAAAAATGGCTCCTACTGCAGAAGAAAGAAACATTGTACATGACATATTTCTTAATACACTGGACCCAAGGTAGGTGGCGGGGCAATGAATGCCTTTACAAACTTTACTTCTGTTCGGGTCTGAATTTTCTTAAAGGTGGCAACTTGTTATTCTATCATTTCTCAGCATGTACCTATTTCAGGCATTGAAAAAAGGGCTGCTCAGATGTTGTTTCCCCTTCTTTTGCCTTGTGCAGAAGTGAATGCCCAGGCCAGGAGATCCTGCATTTATTTATTTGCGTTTTATATCACTCTTACCCCAGTTGGGAACCCAGAGAGGTATACCATATAATTAAAATACTGGTACAAAAATAATATTTACAGCCCTACTAAAAAACAAAATCTAAAAAACCAAAGTGACTAACTCTGACCTTAGGTTCTCTTCTAACCCTGGATACTGAAACTGCTAGAGGAGGCAATGTCCGTATCAACAGTCAGGAGACATTTGTGAATGTTATTTTTATTCCCCTTGTGTGTTTCTCTGGGCAGCATATGCAAGATTGTCCAAAATTATTCTTACTAGTCCTTCTCAAATAAGTTAGATCAGTGGTTCTCAAAGGGTGTGGCAGGAGAGGATTGCAAGTGTGGCAGGAAGATTCAACGACAGTCAGTATTATATGTTTGAGAACCACTAAGTTAGTCTGAGAAGTTAACCCTGTGCAGTACGTTAGGCTGAGAGATACGGCTGACCTGAGGCTGCCAGTGAGTTTCATGGCTACGTGGGGATTTGAACCTGGTTCTCCCTGATCTTAGGCTGGTATTCTAACTATTGCACCACTTTGGCTCTAAGAGGTATCCCCCTGGCTCCCCACCAAGGTGACAAAGCTGGCCTGAGGTAACTCACACAGAAGCTATTCAAGGGAAAATGACACACTGATTCCCTCTCCCCCAAAAAACCCTGGAATTGATGGGAAGGCATAAAATTATCTGAACCTTTAAAGATGAAGTGCTTTATTTTAAAGTCCCGAAAAGATTTAAACAGCTTTGTCCAGCAACTGGATTTTTTTATTGCAAAAAACTGACCACAAAATGGGTCTTAAAAAACACAGGAGTGGATACATAGGCCATGTTGCAATGAGTAGATGGCGATTCCCCCCAGAAACAAAGGCCAGTGTACTTTTTGGCTGAGTGGATATTTCAATCCAGACCTCTTCATTCCAAGTGTAGCACATTAAACTACATCTATTACACACATCCTGGTTGGGGCATTCACTATGCGTGTCACGGTGCAATGACGATGATGTGTGTGAGCCTAAGGCCTGCTTGTTGTCTCACTATGTGGGAGACATGGGGGGAGTAACATTCAGACAACCCCAGGTGGAGGTTAAGCAGGGGCTTTGCTTCGTAACGTTGGGCTGAGACAGCATTTAAACTCTCCTCCTCTCATAGGACGGTGAGTTTTCGGAGTCGGCTGCTGCCACCCACCGCAGTGTGGATGGAAGATGCAAAACTGAAAGGTCTGGAAATCTGCCATCCTCAGGTATTTGCAGAGAGCTATAGCATGATTGTGTTAGTGGTGGGTTTTGTTTTGCTCTTGGTAAACAGATGTTTGACTTCTTATCCGAGCTGTGATATTTGATGGTGCTTCGGTTATATGATAGAAATTGCAATCTTTTTCATTCTGAAGGTATCTATCCATGTAAGAAAGTAGTCTTGATAGATTTTTGTAGTCACACAATTGTTTGTGAGTCACCTTCAAAAGTCAGCTTAATTTTTAATTGTAGCATTACAAGAATGCTTCCCAGCTGTATTATTCTGAAGCTCTTTCCCACTGCGGAGGAGGTCCCACTAAGCATATCATGTGAACATTATTGGTTCATGGCTGCTGGCAGTGTATTTGCCAGAGATGCTGAGCAGCTTTCCAGTAAATGTTAGCACATCCATTGACATACTTAGGAAATCCATTTTTCATCCCTGCCCTCCTCCAGGCACTCCACCTCCGTGTCATTGTGTATTGTTGTTGTTGTTTAGTCGTTTTGCCGTGTCCGACTCTTCGTGACCCCATGGACCAGAGCACGCCAGGCACTCCTGTCTTCCACTGCCTCCCGCAGTTTGGTCAGACTCATGTTTGTGGCTTCGAGAACACCGTCCAACCATCTCGTCCTCTGTCGTCCCCTTCTTCTTCTGCCCTCCATCTTTCCCAACATCAGGGTCTTTTCCAGAGAGTCTTCTCTTCTCATGAGGTGGCCAAAGTATTGGAGCCTCAGCTTCACGATCTGTCCTTCCAGTGAGCACTCAGGGCTGATTTCCTTAAGAATGGATGCGTTTGATCTTCTTGCAGTCCATGGGACTCTCAAGAGTCTCCTCCAGCACCATAATTCAAAAGCATCAATTCTTCGGCGATCAGCCTTCTTTATGGTCCAGCTCTCACTTCCATACATCACTACTGGGAATACCATGGCTTTAACTATACGGACCTTTGTTGGCAAGGTGATGTCTCTGCTTTTTAATATGTTGTCTAGGTTTGCCATCGCCTTTCTCCCAAGGAGCAGGCGTCTTTTAATTTCGTGACTGCTGTCACCATCTGCAGTGATCATGGAGCCCAAGAAAGTAAAATCTCTCACTGCCTCCATTTCTTCCCCTTCTATTTGCCAAGAGGTGATGGGACCAGTGGCCATGATCTTCGTTTTTTTGATGTTGAGCTTCAGACCATATTTTGCGCTCTCCTCTTTCACCCTCATTAAAAGGTTCTTTACTTCCTCTTCACTTTCTGCCATCATCATTGTGTATTATGGCCATGAAAGAGCATGCAACAACCTACGGACTAGTTTCAGGTCTTTGCCAATGTGTTTTTAGCAAAAGGTACCAGCTGCTCAGTATATATTGCAGTCTTGTGCCCGTTCCTCTTCCTGTCCCCACTAATTGGTTACAATCACAAAGTAAAGCTTGATAATAATTGCTGAGGAATATGTAAAATACCTCTTGCATATTGACATGTGATTAGAGTGTATTGATAGCTAGATTGATGATATAATTCCATTGCTCTCTTTTCTTCCTCACCATTTTAATCATTGATTTGCATTTCTCACTTGATCCAAAATGCTTTTATCACCAAAGCTACATATGTACTTTACATTTAAAGTACAAAGAATCATAGGAGCAGCATTTTACCCCTCACAGAGTTACAATTATCAGTCCTCAGCATCCTTTGGGGGTGAGGAATGTTGTTTGCATTTGCTTTAAACGTATACTGTGTTGGCAGCCCAAATTTCCCTGCTGTCACTGGACAAAATTTCCTCTATCACCAGCATAATTTGACTGGCACAAAAAGTTGGTAGTTCTCACTATCCTTCATTGCAGTTGGTTGGACTGCAATGACTATTGGGAGTCCCTTCCACCTCTACAAATGGTATGATTCAGTGATACACAGTATATTGTATTCTATCCACAAATTATGCATTTTGTGCTTTTTGTTATGTTGCCAATAGCACAAATTGCTAATTACTTGTTTTATGGCTACCTTGATGGAGAACCAGAAATAAATAGACGTTTTAAGGCAACATTTTCTGTAAGGGTGCATCATTCACCACTGAATATTTTTGACTGTAGGAACGCAACATTTTCAATAGAATCTTTGGGGGATTTCTCATGAGGAAGGCATATGAACTTGGATGGGCTTGTGCCTACAGCTATGGGTAAGTCGCAGGATGGTAATATTTGTGGGACTTAAAGCCCGGCGAGTCTTTTGGGAGGGTGGGGGTAGGGGAAGAGGGCAGGGGTTCACTTGGTTCTCCCTCCAGACTTCCTCCTTCCCGGCTATGAGTGGGAAGAGCACCTTTCTCCTCTTGCACTCTCAAATCAGTACCATGTGAGCAGGGAAGAGGCCACGTAACCTTGTAAAGTGATTTGTTTTACAGATTCAGTGCAGCAGCCTTTCCCAACTTGGTGCATTCCAGATGTTGCCCGACTACAGCTGCCATTTCCCCTCACTATCGGGAGTGATGGCAGGAGCTAGCTGGGAGTTCAACAACATCTGGGGGAGATCAGCTTGTGGAATGCAGCTGTAAAGTGATGCACCCAAAGACATTTGGGCTAATTTTGTAGGAGTTAGTGAAATCTCATACAACAAATGAGTATCACTAAGTTGGACAGTGAAAAACGTCTTAGGAACTGCCAGCTGGTCTTACCCCTTTCTTTCATAAAACAAAATTATTTAAAGCCTTTTCCTAATTGCAGGTGATATCTATACACAAAAATCAGCTTTTATGTAGTTTCTGATTTCTCATGTTTTTTCATGTTACTTACAACGCAGTGTTCCCTATGTTTCCCTTTTAAAAATGTATTATTTTCCTCCGCTCCAGAAACTCCCGGCCTTATGTGGTAGCTGTAGATGATATCATGTTTCAAAAACCAGTTGAAATTGGATCTTTGTTACTACTTTCTGCCCAGGTAATGGATTTATTCTACTGAAACCATTTTAATAGATCATACTGGTATAAATCATTTGGCTGTCCCTGAAAGTGAGCAATAACAAGTCAGAGAAACACTGGCTTTCCTTTCCAAATATTAAAATGTTGTGTCTTCCTTGTTCATTTCTGAATTTGGAGGCCCATAGTAGCTATTTTTTGTTTTAAAGGTATGCTATACTGAAAAAAATAATGCCCAGGTTCGAGTACACAGTGAGGTGTATGATCCAGCTACCAGAGTGCACCATACAACCAATGTCTTCCACTTCACATTTATGTTAGAAAATGAGATACCAAGTATTGTTCCCAGAACATATGGCGGTGAGTACCTATTTTGGAAGCTTCACACAGTGCATGATATTGCATGCTGCAGTGCAAAAGTAATGGTATTATAGGATCATGGAAGATGGATTCCTTCCTGTTCTGGTTGTCCCCCACCCCAGTACCCCTTTTCCTCTCTTATCACCTCTCTTTCTGGGTTCATTTAGGTAGCCCAGAGAAGAATTGTATACTACCATATTGGCTGTATATCTGTTTCAGCAGCAATATCGTAAAAGCCAATTTGTGTAAGGTCGCGAATTTAAGCTGTACTTTTAACTTTTCACGGTCGGAATTTGGAAAAGTGTGTGACTTATATTCAGGCCAACATGGTAATTTGTGCATTCTGTTTTTTGTACTAATGCAGTTCAAACTGTGTGAATCTAGGTCCACAGTTCCTATCCATTTGTTTTGTTATTTTAAGGTATTAATCTGCCCACTTATTCAGTCTGTGCTGTGTGAAGTAACCTAAACGAAAGGAGGAACGATGAAAGTGTTCTCAATGAAGACAAGAGTAAAACTTTTATTCCAATTTTGGAAACAGGCAGGCTTAAAAGCGAGAACCCAGAGTGTGTAAGGAAAAAGTGTGAAAAATTGACTCGAGTATGTCTTACTAATTGACCACATAATCTTAGGAAGTTTGAGAAGTATCTATATAAATGACTTACGGTAGTTGCTTTTTCTTGTCTTTCAGAATCCATGCTGTATCTGGATGGGAAGCGGCACTTTGATTCCGCCATGAAAGAAAACATAGCACCCTAGCAGTGTGCCACCTTTGGAAGGAGATCGCCTTGGAAGCTTTAAGCATATTGCTTCTCCACAGGAGGTGGCAAAGCATTTCTGCCATTAAAAACAGTATGATCATGAATGCAGAAATGCTCTAAAGCACTTACTTTTCTATCCATTTATTGTTTATTTCTATTTATACATAGTTTTTAGATTGATTTTTGTATTTCATATTGGCGTTTCATATATTTTATGTATTTTTAATGCCAAAAGACGAACAAACTATATATCATGACCATCACAGTGGTCATTTGCTTTGCAAAGTGAACGAAGGTAGCTCTGAAAGGTGGAGGGTGAAGGAAATGCAGTGTGGAATCCTGCCACTGAACAACTTTTGCATTGTTACTCAGAGGTGGTGATCAGTATACCATTTAAATTCATATGCTTTTACTTAAATTTTTTCTACCACTGACTCCAGACTGATAAAAGCAGCTAAAGCTCCTGCACACTAATTGAAAGGGATTAAGCAGTTACATGGTGTGTCAAGGCCACATCAGGTCCATGAAGACCATTACCCTGCCTATCACAGTGGAACTCCCTGAATTAAGCAAGAACGTCTCTTGATTTCAGCCTTTGATAAACTCCTACCAGATATGGAAATGTTTTACTGAATAATGTATTATATCCTATAATAAAAAAAATCATACGCTTGATTGAAATAATCTTATTACAAGCTACAAAAATATATTCCAGGTCGCTTCATATCACGTATGGTAGATCTACCCTCACATTGAAAATGATTTGGCAAAGATGGTGTTCCAATTTGTGTTTTTAAACTACGCATCAGTGAAGCCCGCGATTCCTTTTGGAGCTTTACCATTTTGTTTTTTCATCTTTTCATAGATATTTCTCTATGCCAGTTGCATTTTGAAGTTTTGGGCTATTCAAAACTGAGAATGCAACTCCCTCTTGTGGATGTTTGGCGCATAACCATGCTTCTACAATGAATAGCTTGAGATACTCATCACATTACTGGATGTCCTCCATCTGAGAATAAAGATACTTGACACTGTATTTTAGTGTTTAAATTATGCATTTAATTTGTAAAAATGTGAGTGTTTGGATTGTGCAGTTTCTATAACTCATCTAACTTAAAAATACATCCCCAAAGTTTAAGTAACTGTGATAGCTTTTTCCAGTGCTTTTTTCTGGGGAGACGCAGGAGGATGCATACTCCTAAACAATTTGTGAATCTTAAGTTTGGCCTCATTGAGGGGCAGTATTTCAATATGAGTAGAAAAATGAGAGTACCCCTAAACATTTTTTTAAAGAAAAAAAGCACTGGCTTTTTCACATTTGCTGTGTACTGTCTCTCAAAAACATTGTGTGCATAGATTGCGAGTCAATAATTGAAGTTTAGGCTTAATTTGGAAACAAGTTCCATCTAGTCCTATACCCTTTGCAAGAATATAAGCAGATGGCAGCACAAATGAACAATGATTACCTTCTTCTCATGCCCATCTTGCACTCATTTGTTTTGACTCTGCGTTTTCAAAATAGTAATCATAGAATATGGGAAGTCTGAATTATGTAATCAATATATTGGAGTGGGCAACCTCCAGCCTGTGGGCTTCCTGCTTGCCCTGCAAGGCTGTTTTCCATAAACCATACCCACCTACCTTCCTGTGATGTCAGGCAGGGAGGCAGCTGCTTTCCCTGTAGAAAGCAGGGTTGATCAATCAGCTGGTGTGTGTGTGTGTGTCCCCTTGGTTTCGGTGTGTGAGATTAATTTGCACACTTACTAAATTCTGTGGAACACAATGCTTACTTCAGAATAAACATGCATATAGTTGGGTTAGAAATAGTTATTAGTGTGTCTAGCAGCATGAGACTTCCTACAGTGAAAGTAATTTTACATGGTAATATTTTAGCACTGCTTCACTGCTATTATTCTACTTTAGTAGAACAAGAAGCCTTATACACACTGAACGAAACACTGGTACAATTCTACCAAGAAGCAACACACAAGCAATTATCAAAATTAGTGGAACTTTTATTGGCAGATTCTTAGCTGCGAATTGTAGAAGAAAGCAGTCAGTTCACTTTACCAAAATACTTCAGTTTTCCTGCAGGATCTGGAATTATCTGGATAAGGAGAAAAAAGTCGCAATCAAAACCAAAATAGTCTAATGTTTGTTATATATCTGCTGTATAAAGTGAACTAAGTCCTGTGCTGATGATTGGATGTATATTAGACCCATCCATCCTCCAATGAGTTCCCCAAGATAACACAGGTACTCAAATACCCAACGGTACTTACAAATCTTCTCTTGGCCACCACATTCTCATAGCATCTTCAGGTTTGATCTAAACACATGCAGAAGGCATGGCTACAGCTATTAGTGTATTCCTGTTTTCATGTCACAATAGTTTGATGATACAGAGTACCCTACCGACTCATGTGCCCTACCTCTCCTGCTGCTGCTCAACACACACATTTCCTGGTAAGAACTACAGTTACACCAGTTCAGATATGGTAAACCAAGGGTGGGTAGCCCTGGCCCTCCATGCATCTTATCTTTCCCTCTCCCCTCACTGGCCCTGCTCTCTAACAAGTGTTTTTGCTTGTCTGGAATGTGTCCATGATCTTTGATAATGCTTCTTGCTTGTATGGATTTTGTATTTTCTATTTTCTGACTGTGTTCTTCCCCTCACACACTGGATATGGTGACACATACACCCCAATCATAATGTGAACATAGGATTGCACTGATAAGCACCATGGATTTTTCTGGTACCAAGGTGCACCTAATGCTCTTCGGATTGTACCCAAAATCATAAGGGGGAAGATCGGAATCATCGGTGTCCTTCAGTAACATGTCAGGATAAAACAAACTACTGTAGGGATGTAGAACTGTCTTGAGAACGCATGCAGTGTTCTTTTGTGACCTGTCTACAATTGCACTTGTGATAAACCACATGTTATTCCATTGCTGCACTTGTCAAGTCACTGGCCAAAAAACTCAGATTAATATCCTCAACTTTGATGTTTCTTTATTCTGAAAGTCTATAATGTAGAAATAAATTGCAAATACTTATACAAAATGTTTATAAAGACTGCAGCCCTGTGTATACATACTCAAAATTAACTCCAATTGAATTTAAGGGGACTTATTCCAAGTTAAATGTGCATAAGACTGTAGCCTAAGTGGATGTATTCAGAGACTGGGAAATCTATTGACCAACGAACATACTGTTATAAGTTAAGAGTGCAAAATAATTAGTACTTGTGATTTTTTGTATCTTACTGAAATGCTATAGAGTTCTGGAGCAGGTTTTTGCACAACTATAATGCTATTCATGTAGCAGTTATCTAACATGCAAGCACCTTAAGAAAATAATTCGTCTTGATTTTTCCTTCACTGTGTAAAATCTTAGCAAGAAAAGCATGCTGGAAAAGCTGATAGAGATAAGATGAAGAAGTAAAAGGCAAAGTTTCAAATGGCATTCAAATTGCCCATGCATTGCTTTTGGCCTGCTAATAACATTCCCCACATGACATAAGATAAAAATTTTAAATGGAGCATTCAAGGAAAAACTATGTTACAATTATATTTATAAACACCAACTTACTGTTTCACTGCCTGGTCTCCAACCAGCAGGGCAAACTAAGAAGACAAGGAAAGGAGACATTAAGCTCATGGTTAAAAATAACCCTGCCTTCCTATTCCTTTTATTCTGTGGAACATGAAAGAAATAATTCATTTTCTGCAACTGCAAATCTATATATGATGAGGTAGCTGAATGAAGTAGGATTTAATCATAGACTGAGAACTTTTCAATTAGTTTTACAACTAATACCAGGAACCAGGCATCATAGTATTGAAGGCTGCTAGAAATGTTAAGACCAACAGTAATTTGTCAAAATATCTAAAAGTCTCAGCTTTCTTACTTGCTATCTAGATGAAATCTTTCTTTCTGTGTAGGCAACTGAATGTTTAACCCTGCAGGAAATACCTTCTCCATGTTCGTCAGTATACTGGAATGCTTGTACTAGACGAAGAGTCTCATCTACAGATCTGCCAACAGGAAGATCATTCATTGTGATTTGTCGAAGATTTTTCTTGCCATCAATAATGAACAGGCCTCTGTGGAAACATAAATATAAGAGAAATTGGCAAGACAAATATCAATAACCTCATTCTGTGCATATATATATTACACCTGTCTGTGAAACACCTGTATCAACTCTTCACCGAAAGCAATACATTTTATTTCACTATGGGATCTAACTATGCACGTCATAGATCCACTGAAATAACTACAGTGGTGCCTCGCAAGACGAAATTAATTCGTTCCGCAAGTTTTTTCTTCTTGCAAGTTTTTCGTCTTGTGAAGCACGGTTTCCCATAGGAATGCATTGAAAATCAATTAATGTGTTCCTATGGAGACCGCTTGCCAGGCTGGCGGTGCGGAGAAGGGCTTTTCTCCCCACCGCAAGCCTTCAGGACAGGTACGGGAACAGAGGGGAAGGCGCGCAGCGCTTCTCCTCTGTTCCCGGGGCTTGTGGTGGGAGGAGGGTTTTTCCTCCCCACTGCCAACATTCAGAACAGCATTCTGAATGTTGGCGGTGGGAAGGAAAACCCTCCTCCCACCGCAAGTCTTCAGGACAGCCATCCGAAGGCTGGCGCGGGGAGAAGGTCTCTCCGCCCCACCGCCAGCCTTCGGAGCAGCCTTCCGAAGGCTGGTGGTGGGGCGGAGAGACCTCCTCCCGCCGCCAGCCTTCGGAGGAGCCTTCCGAAGGCTGGCGGCGGCAGGAGGTCTCTCCGCCCCACCACCAGCCTTCGGAGGAGGTCCGAGGACAGTGGGGAAGACGCGCTGCGCTTCCCCGCTGTCCCGGAGATTTCCCTATGGGCTTTCGTCTTGTGAAGGAAGCCCATAGGGAAATTCGTTTTGCGAAGCGCCTCCAAAACGGAAAACCCTTTCGTCTAGCGGGTTTTCCGTCTTGCGAGGCGTTCGTCTTGCGGGGCACCACTGTAATTGCTAACCGAAATTTTAAGAACTGTGCTCTTGTTCTAGTCAAGTTTTTCTCTCCAATAGACTGCTGTTGTAAAATTAGCAATCCTGATCTTGCAATTTTTTTAAACACAGATTTTTGTTGAATGCAACAGAATTTTGATACAGCATCATGTAGGAAAAATATGACAATAATCTATAACTATTTGAGTAGCAGACAGAGAAGGAAATGGAATAGTTAACATTATACCTAAGAGCATGTCCTTGATCCTCTAGGTAAACTCCATAATCTTTTGAGATCTGGTGTGTCAAATCTGAAAGAAGTGGTATCTTTATTGGTCCCAATCCTCCTTGCTTCCGAGCTGTATTAATCCTATAGCAATGAAGATCACCAAATACTTCAGTGAGAACTATTCCATACCTGCACTGTCAACTTAGTATCATTCGCAGTATCTACTCTACATGACAGGTGGTGAATTTAATGGACCTGATCTAGGCTTTGCATCTCCCTCACCCTCTCCTGTGTACACTTCTCAGGAAATGGAAGTTTCCTGACAACACATGGTTCCTGCCATTGACAGGCCTGTAACTGGGCAGCTATACTCATGGAATGGCTGCAGTTACTTAACAGTCCCAAGTTTCCAATCAAGATTTCTACTTTGTACAGAAAATGTAACAGCTACCAGTAAGTTGTGTAAATGAAAGGGAAAAAGGACTTACCATGCTAAATGAGTGAACTGCGAGTCTACTGAGCAAGCAACCACTTCAGCACCTATTGCTCTGAATTCTTCAATTCTGTCACTAAAGGCAATGATCTCCGTTGGACATACAAATGTGCTAAATTTAAAGAGAGACCAAAACGTAAATTTCTAAAAAGAACAGATCCCTACTTATAACCAATCACTAAAACAGAAATGAACTGCTTTCTGCAAAGCACTCAATTTTCCAGCTATTTATTTATTATTTTCTTTTATTTATGCCAGCCCATTTATAGCCTTCATTGGTCACTGATTCAAGGATGCATGTAGGAAAACAAGTTTTGCTCCATTACAACTTCT